CTCTCTCTCTCTCTCTCTCTCTCTCTCTCTCTCTCTCTCTCTCTCTCTCTCTCTCTCCCTCGCTTCCTCCCCCTCCCCCTCTCTCTCTCTCTGTCTCTCTCTCGTTTTCTTTCATTCTTCATAATATAGAAAAATTGAGTTGTGAACTCTCTTTTATTAAAAATACCTCTACATGTGATTGAAAATTAATGAAAAGATTTATAGGCCACAGATTATTAGACACACATTTATCGATAAAACACGGTTCAGAATAAGGGCCAAATTATGTAGAAGGTTGCAAAATGGATTTAAATACAATGAAGTTGGTAGCTCACCGAATTATCAAAATTGAGAGTCGTTATTGGCGGGTAATTCTCCTATTATATATGCCCACTGTACAGATTGTCTTGAAATTCTTGATATGAAATCACATTTAGTGACGGAATTATTGATGAATATGGAATATGAAATATGGAATATGGAATAAATTTTTTCTTAGGGGAACGATGTACATAAACTCGTTGAGAATTATTATGTTTTGTACAATTTATTTTTCCACCATATTCGTGTATCATTTATAATTCACTTTTGTATTATCTTGTTTGCATCTTATTTTCTTGCTTGCATTGTCTTAGATTTTCTATTATTTATTCTCGCAATGATTACTTATCGTACATTTAAAAGTATTATGAATATTATGAATAGTTTTCTGAGAAGATTTAGCCTCAGAGCAGCAAATCAATTTCATTTTGTCGCATTTTCTCTACTTTTTCTCTCTTTCTTTTTCCCTCTCGTTGCCTTCTCCTCTTCTTCATCTTCTAGTTCTTCTTCTTCTTCTTCTTCTTGTCGACACTTCAATTTTCCGAGTTTCTCGGTTTTATAACTGTGTACCGTCACTGGGCATCCTCGTAATTCTTATTGGGACGGTCCGAAACATTTTTATCGCTATTTTATTCCGCATGAATCTCGATAGTGGTGCAAATAATACCGGCTCTCGTTCGCCTGGAGCCATTCACCGAGAAAATCTCGTTCCATTTTCTTTCGTTTTTCCAGCAATAAAGTTCTCTTAACGCGCGGCTTGCCGCGATACGTCGTCTCTCTAGCCGCGATGACGACGAGAAACTTGAGTTATAATTGTCACGGTAATGAGAATTAACCTGCGGACTATTTCTTGTGATTTTACAACGATCATATGTACATCGGACTCGAGTGTAATGAACGCAAACGTTCGCGGAGAAATGGTTCTTGATGGCTTCACGATCAGTTTAACAGACGTTCAGCATCCAGAATATAAAATAAACGATACGATAATATGATCTTACACGCGAGTGATTGTGGATATACATGTATCTTTGAGAAAGAATAATGAAGTTGCATAAACATTTAGATAAGAATTAAATGAGATATCTTCGATACAATTATCTATGTGTGTGTAGAGCAACGCTCTAGGCGCAATGTATTTCTCTGTCGCGTGAAGTGGCCATCAGAAGGAAATTTCCTTGAGCCACTAGCAATTTACGCGAATGGCCAATAATACCTAATACAAAAGTATGATATGACCAGAACATCGTAGGACATCGAATAAAGCTTGTAACGAGATTGAAGTTTTAATGTGCCGATCGCGCGCGCAATTTCGAACTTCACGATCGTCCTTTCCAATAAATACGTCCGAACGTGATGCGACGGCAACTGGCCTGTCTGTAGCCGGAAATCCGGCCCTCGGACGCGATTCCTCCTTTTACCTCGTGCCGGGAGGTAGGTAGGTAGGTAGGTAGATAGGTGTAGGTAGATAGGTGGTAGAAACGTCTCCGGTGTGCGCGCGGCATGCGCGAGCAAAAGAGAAAGAGCGCGAGAGCGAGCGAGCGAGCGTGGACGAGGACGAGGGTGAGGATCGGGAAGCTCGTGGATGTCCGTTCGTGCCTGACGTAAACCCCATTTCTACTGCGGACGTGAAGTGTCGGACGGACTTCGGCTTCGTTTGCGTGAACTCTGCCGGCGCAGAGAGAGAGAGAGAGAGAGAGAGAACTCGAGAAACAAAAAGCCCACCGCAGCGGGTCCGCGATGCCCGGTAACCCGATGGCGCCGTAATGGATTGCGCAGTCGTGGGGCCGCTATAAGGGTGTACACGGATGAGCGAGTCAATTTCGCGGCGCGTAGCCGCACGAGCGGGCCCGCTGCCGTATA